CGGGAGCCCGATGTGGGGCTCGATCCCAGGACCCTAGGATCATGACCTGAGCTGAAGGCAGACGCTTAATGACTGAGCCACCCAGGCGCCCCTAATGCATTCATTCTTTAGTGGAATATTCTTTTTTAAAAAATTATTTATTTGAGAGGGCGAATGAGAGAGAGAGAGCGCGCATTAGAGGGGGAGGGTCAGAGGGAGAAGCAGACTCCCCGCTGAGCAGGAAGCCTGATGCAGAACTTGATTCCAGGACTCCAGGATCATGACCTGAGCCGAAGGCAGTTGCTTAACCAACTGAGCCACACAGGAACCTAGTGGAATATTCTTTAACCTTCATGTATTTGTGGTCCTTCCAAATTTCTTCTTGTGGTTGACTTCAAGTTTCATAGCACTGCAGTCTGAAAATATGCATGGTATGATCTCAATCTTTTTGTATCTGTTGAGGGCTGATTTTGACCCAGTAGATGATCTTATTCCATATGCACTCAAAAAGAATGTGTATTCTGCTTTAGGATGAAATGATCTGAATATATCTATTAAGTCTATCTGGTCCAGTGTGTGATTCAAAACCCTCATTTCCTTGTTGATGTTATGCTTACATGATCTGTCAATTGCTGTGAGTAGGGTGTTAAAGCCTCCTACTATTATTGTATTATTATCAACCAGTTTCTTTAATTTTGTTATTAATTGGTTTATAGAGGCATAAATACTTATAATTGTTAGATCTTGATGGATAGACCCCTTTGTTAAGATATAGTGTCCTTCATCTCTTATTACAGTTTTTGGTTTAAAATCTAGTTTGTCTGAAAGAAGGATGACTACTCCAGCTTTCTTTTGATGTCCATTTGCTTTCAATCTGGAGGTGTCTTTGGGTGTAAAATGAGTCCCTTGTAAGCAGCGTATCAATGGGTCTTTTTTTTTTTTAAATCCATTCTGATGCCCTGCATCTTTTGTTTGGAACATTTAGTCCATTTACATTCAGAATAATTATTGAAAGATATGAATTTCGTGCCATTGTATTACATATAAAGTCGCTGTTTCTGTAGATTGTTTCTGTTCCTTTCTGGTCTTTGTTACCTTTGGGCTCCCTCTCTGCTCTTTAATATTTCTTACAGGACTGGCTTAGTGTTCACAAATTCCTTTAGTTTTTGTTTGTCCTGGAAACTCTTTATCTCTCTGTCTATTCTGAATGACAGCCTTGCTGGATAAAGTATTCTTGGCTGTATATTTTTCCCATTTAGCACATTGAATATGTCATGCCAGTCCTTCTTGGCCTGCCACGTTTCCATGGACAGGTATGCTGCCAGTCTTATGTGTCTACCCTTGTAGGTTAAGGACCTCTTGTCCTGAGCTGCTTTCAGGATTTTCTCTTTATCTTTGTAATTTGCAAACTTGACTATAATATGTTGAGTTGTTGATCTATTCTTGTTGATTTTGAGGGGGGTCTCTGTGCCTCCTGGACTTGAAACCCTGTTTCCTTCCCCAGATTAAGTAAGCTCTCAGCTGTAATTTGTTCAAATAAACCTTCTGCCCTTTTCTCCCGCTCCTCATCTTCTGGGACTTCTATAATATGGATAATATTTTGCTTTATGGAATCGTTGAGTTCCCTCAGTCTACCTTTGTGCTCTAGTAGGTTTCTTTCCCTCTTCTTTTCAGCTTCCTTATTTTCCATCATTTTATCTTGTGTATCACTGATTCACTCTTCTAATTCATCCATCTTCATTTTTATGGTTTCCATTTAAGACTGCATCTTGGTGATAGCATTTAAAATTTTGGCCTGACTAGATTTTAGTTCTTTAATCTCTAAATAAGGGATTCTCTAGTGTCTTGTATGCTGTTTTTCAAGCCCAGTTAGTATCTTTATAATCATTGTTTTAAATTCTAGTTCAGTCATCTTACTTATATACATATTGATTACATTCCTGGCAGTGAGTACTCCCTCTTTTTTTTTCTTTTGGGGTGAATTTCTCCATCTTGTCATTTTGTCCAGAAAAGAAAAGAAGAAAGAAAAACAGCAAAAACAATAATAAACAACAATAGAACAACAACAAAATCCCACTAGATCCTGGGTGTGTTTTGGTCTGCTTGTTAAAAGAAACTAGGTCTCAAATAAGAAAGAAACACACACACACACACACACACACACACACACACACACACACACACACACACACTACAATGTAAGGAAACAAATAATTTAAATATATAAAGTACATATAAAAATAAAAATTTAAAGCAGTGGTCTACTGGTAGACTTGCAGCATTTTTTTCCCCCTCAGATCCCTGATTTCTTGGGTTTTCACAATGATTTGATAACTATCTGGTTGCATTTGAGAGACAAGACAAAAAGGGTCCCCCTCTTCCTCCACCATCTTAACTCTTCTACTTTTTGCCATTTTAATTACTATGTGTCTTGGTGTGGACCTCCTTGGGTTGATTTTGTTGGGGGTTCACTGTGTGTCCTGGATCTGGATTTCTGTTTCCTTTCCCAGGTTTGGGAATTTTTCAGCTATTATTTCCTCAAATAAAATTTCTGCCCCCTTTTTCTCTCTTCTCCTTCTGGGATCCCTATAATGCAAATGTTATTACAATTGATAGTGTCACTGATTTCCCTAAATCTATTTTTATGTATTATTATTATTATTATTAATTTTTCTCTCTCCTGTTCAATTTGATTGCTTTCCATTACTCTGTCCTCCAGGTCACTGATCTATTCTGTTTCCTCTAGTCTACTATTTATTCCTTCTAGTGTATTTTTAATTTCAGTTATTGAGTTCTTCATCTATGATTGGTTCTTTTTGTTTTCTATCTTTTTGTTAAGGGTCTCATTGAGGTCCTCCACTCTTTTCTCAAGTCCAGTGAGTATTTTTATGACCATTACTTTAAATTCCCTATCAGGCATATTACTTATCTCCATTTTGCCTAGGTCTCTTGCTGTGGTGTTGTCCTGTTCTTTCATTTGGGACATATTCCTCTGTCTCCTCATTTTGTCTAATTCTCTGTGTCTGTTTCTATCTATTAGGAAAGTCAGCTATGTCTCCTGCTTTTGAAAGTAGTGACCTTATGAAGAAAAGGTCCTTTTGTGTCTTGCAGTTCAATATCCTCTGCTCACCAGAACAGAACTCATCCAATCTTAACTCAAAGTGAGGAGGCATGATAGTGCAGAGACATAGTGTGGGATTTGGATTCAAGAAGAACTGGGATTGAATCCTCACTTCTCTACTTACTCCTTGTGCAAGTGATTCCATTTTTTCTAAAGCTTAGGTTCTTAATATAAAAATATTCTAAATGATAGCCTATACCTTATAATAGCACTGTTGGAAACATTGAACAAGATAATGCTCCATTATAAGAATTGGCTATAATTATCACCATTATGATTGCTACTAAGGAAGAGTTTTCTGAGTTGATCTGAAAAGGGTGAGCAGCAAGTGTGCATCTATCAGAGATTCCATAGAGGAGATTCCCGTTGGCTAGAGAATTGGCTTAGTGACTTCTGAGATTGATGGCAACACTTGAATTCTGTTGTTTCTTGGTCAATTCATGGTGAAAGCAGATGGAAGGCCCTGACCCATTAAAATAAAATAAAGATCTCTTGAGGGCTTTTATAGATAATGGATGTCACTGTAACCATTCTCTGAGAAATAGCAGCATGAAGCTGTATCATCAACCCCATTTGTAATCATCACCATCATTGTCATCATGATTGGTAATGATATGATCATGACATATTTTAATTATGAATACATTAGTGATTCATTTTAGCACCATATCTTACTTTTAAGTTGGATAATACAAATATAATTCTTCCAACTTTACAGATGGGTAAATGAGATATAGAGACTTTCTAAAGACCACCCAGATAACCATGCATTTATCCCTTGTGCTGGTCAGTGAGCCCAACCTTTTGTTACTTCTTCTCAATTATTCTATTTTGGTGGAATGACCAAAGTGGAGGGGTACAAGGAGACTTGCCCCTCTTTCTTATGTTAATGAGAGAAAAGAGAATAGAAGGAGACTATTACTTCTTGACATCTACTACACACTGGACATTCTCTAATAAAATCTTATAATGAAGAAGGTATTATTTATCCAATTTTACCTGCACTTGAAGATTAGATAGGTGTATTAGCAAAACCATAAAGCTGAGTTTTGGTTACAGTTCTGACATATGTATGTGCTTAATCACTAAGGTTATTTGCAATTCTAAAAGTCTGTGACTCTTAAAAATGGGAGAGTGGAGAGCAGTAGTCTCTGACTATGGTGTTGAAACACAGTGGGCTTGATTTAATATCTAGTGAGCCATAGACCTGGGATTCTAATCCAGGTCTGTCTACCTTTAATGCCTCACCTGGGCTCAGAGAAGAGAATCAGTTCCCTTGGTGGGCATCCACTTTGAATGGCAGGGCCAGTTGGGTGGTTTGATTCAGCAATATTGATATGCAACATCAGATCTTAAGCTCTGGAATTGTTCATTGTTGCTGCCCTATGTCAGGGAGTATTCAGACCAATTATTACCACATGGCTGGATCTGTTATAAAGCTTTGGAACTTCCAGGTGTAGCCAATATGCTCCTGAGTCATGCAAGTCTCACTGCTTTCCAGTAATGTGGTAAACAGATATGAGTTTATATGGTTTGCAGGTGGATTTTCCTTGTTCATATGTCATAGTTTCCCAGTCCATTGTTAACATTTCTTTTCATAGACTATTATTTCCTGTTTGATTCTGACTTTTCTAAATAAAAATGTATTTGTGTTGGCCTGACAGAGATAAAGCTTAATTTAGTTGATCATAAAGATGTAGAATTCACCTATTACCATCATCTTATAATTAATTAAGTTTACTCAAACATTTTGTACCATTTCCATTCTGGCAAACAAGAAAATTGGGAAATGTCTGAAGAATGGCAGATATTTCCTTTTCATGGCATCTTCTCTGGAACCTTTCCTCCTGCCTCTTACTTCTGTATCTAACCATCCTTTTATACCTTTCCTCTGACACAGAAGTTCCTGAGGAGAAAAAAGGATGCTTCAAGTGGGCCTATGATCTGTTTTGTGGCCTGGACCAGCAGAAGGGTCCCAAGATGACGAAGGAAGAGGAGGAAGCTATGAAGCTGAAGATGACAGACACCTCTGAGAAGCCTTTATGGCGAACAGTAGTGAACATCAATGGCATCATCCTGCTGTCCGTGGCCGTTTTCTGCCATGCATTTTTTGCCTGAGCCTTGCCTTCTGTGGCAGGCCTTGTTCAGGAAGGCCAGACTTTTTACTCTGCCTCCTTAACTTCTATTCTGTGGTGTTAAGCTGGTGGTAAACCAGCCAGGTGTAAATTTTGCCCAGTTGATAAATGTGTACGGGTGTAATTACAGGCTAACTGAAGAAAAATCATTAATTTGCTTTTAACTTATGTATTTGAAGCCAGTGTGATATCATCAGCTGTATATATTAGAGCTGCAGAAGGAAAGTCCAACTCAGTCATGTCCAGGAAAAGATGCAGTAAGAAAGAAGCCCTGCCATGTGTGATGCAAGTTTTTCTCAGATAGATTCAGTGTGTTAGTGTTGTTTGTGATCCTTGAATATTATTTTAAGAGTTGTAGTCTCCCTGGTTCATGCTGCTTTCCCTTCATGACCTTCTCCCCATCTTTTTTAAAGAGAAATATTTCCCCTCTCATCATACACCTGTCAAGTTTTTCCTGGCACAAGAAAAATCAATCTGATAAACTAATGAATGCATTGAAGCTGAAGATGGGAACTTGATAGGGTCCCTGCCCTGGGTGTTTTGTTCTTTGAAGGGAAAGCCTGGGTATGGCAGAACTTACCCCAAAGGGAAGGACCCAGGCACCAGCCTCAGGCCAGTGGGGAAAGTGGATAATCTTGAGTCAAAGGGATTTTCTGGTTTTCTTTAAATTGTCTGTTATGAGTTCCTCATCTTTGAGATTTCACTTATTTTGTCATTTGCTGTGTCTGGAATGTCTTTGGCACTCAGCCACGTTTATGGACCAAATGCATGATTTGGGCACTTATTTATAAATACTTGCTTTATTTTTATGTAAGCCTGGCCCTTGGTTATTTATTTATTTTTTTTGGTGGCTGCACAAAGTACACAGTACACACTCTGGTGACTCTCATCAATTGGAATACATTTTCCAGAGGCCACTCTTCTTCATGGTGTGGATGTTGACATATGAGCTTAGAAGCTGATCTATATCACATAATAGAACAAATGTACCTCTTGGAGCATCTGTCATTTCAAAGCAGCCACACTCTCCTGTAACATGGAAACAATTATCCCAAGATTCTCCTCTCCATGAGTTCATGTGAGCACAGTCCTTCCTTTTTGGGATGTCTTGAGTGGAGATCATCTATTGACCAAAGTTAGGGTAGGTGGTCTCTGTTCTGAGTAATAGCATTCAACACTTTTAGTTGACAGGAGTGTATTTCTTGTTGAACCTGTTTCCTAGGGAGAAGTTTTTAAATATAATTTTAATTAATTAACTGATTAATTAAAATCTTTTAGTCCCACCCATGAAATCTCAATTATGTTGTAATATAAACTTTGAAGTTAAGAAAAAGTCATGATGTTAGTGTTGACTGATTTCAAGCTGGTTTAGGAAAAAGCTGGGATCTGAGGTGCTGTGGAGCTGAGAGTGGTTCCTAGGCATACAAATGGTTCAACAAGCAAAGGGATGGCTTGTTCTTGTGGAAGGAAGGACACTAGTTGATACACCCTCCATATTGCCCTTAAGTGAGGCAGAGAAGAGGGGAACATGGAGAATTTCTTGTGGCTGGCATTACTCAGCAGACTCAGTTTCATGTGGAGTTTGTGGTATTTCTGAGCTTTGAAAAGATAAAGGAAAAGGATTGAAAGCTGGTGGATGAAACGGGCACAAAGCATCTAGATTGTCCTGGGTTCAGTTTCTGGTATTGCCAATGATTCATGTGTATTTTGTAGTAAATTATTTTGTCTCAACTGTGTATTTTTCTCTTTGAAAAATGAGGACATTGGTGCTTATAGCATCTACATACGTCCTCTGGGTGTGACTAGGTCACTTTGTAAAGAGGATAACAGATACATACATGAAAGATGCGAAACAGATGTTATAGTAAGTGGCATTTAGTCCCATAAATTAAAATGTATTACTTTGATACTAATAAAAACATTAAGAAATGTAACATCTAGGTTTCCTGTTTTCTAGATATTCTAAACAGATACTGACCATATGTGTGGCAAGCTTTAGTTGGCACAAGATGTGGATTAGGAAATAGGAGCCAAGACAGTGGAGAATAGAGTCTGGCAACTTGAATAAAAGGTAGCAAAAGAGATGATTTCAACTTCAAAATCTCTACTAAACATGAGGTAACTCTACTTTCAATGCATAATGTCTTTTTAGGACAGACTAAGTCACTTGGATGACCAGGGGCCAATAAGTGATAAATTGTACTAGAATAATTTCAGGAGTACATAAAAGAGGTACTTTTTTCCTCATATGGAAGATGGGTATTTGGGAACAGAGTGACTTTTTATTATGGTCTGTTTATAGAACTGAAAAATCATGTCCTATCAGGCAAAAAAATCTTTGAATATAGATGACTATTTTATTTATTTATTTTTATTTTTTAAAATTTAAATTTAAATTCAATTAGCCAACATATAGTACATCATTAGTTTCAGATGTAATGTTCAATAATTCATTAGTTGCATATAACACCCAGTGCTCATCACATCCCATGCCCTCCTTAATGCCTTACACCCAATTACCCCATCCCCCCATAGATGACTATTTTAAAAAGAATCTCCCCAAATGAAATCTCCTTTCCTGCAGAATGAAGTTAGTCTGTGGGCCTTTGGTTTACCTGGGAGCATTGTTTAATTTTATGTAACTGAGTCAAGCATTGGTATTCACTTAGAGGATTTCTACCTTTGGAACTCACTGGAACCTACTCTTTCCTGGTGTGGAAATCACCATCTCCTAAAAGATGCATTACAGCTTGTCCTGCTTTACAAAAGCAAACCTTGGGAGAAAAACATATGTGCACTTAGTTGGTGGAGAGTAGTTTCTTAACTTTCTTCCCAATCTAGCCCCAAGAAAACTTCTTCTAACCTCCAGATTGGATTTTGGGGAATGAAATTATTTGAATGAGGTGCCATTGCCTTGATGGGTTGGTAGTATGGAATTAGAGAAGTGTGGGTGAGGTTAATGGCACCAGTGCTGCTTGATTGGCACTGGGTGAGTGTTGTTTAGTCCCAGAGCTCCATATTCAAATCACAAAAGCTCCTAGTAAGCTTTTGTAGTCCTAAAAGCAACTTAAAGAATATGTGATTTGATACAATTAATCCCCTGCTTGAAAAACTGTTAGCAGGTGGCGCGTGAGTGGCTCATTCGTTAAGCATCTGCCTTTGGCTCAGGTCATGATCCCAGAGTCTTGGGATTGAGCCCAGGGGGTCCAGGATCAAGCCTATCGTGCTCCCAGCTCTGTGGGAAGCGTGCTTCTCCCTCTCCCTCTCCCCCTGCTTGTGTTCCCTCTCTCGCTGTGTCTCTCTCTGTCAAATAAATAAATAAAATCTTAATAAAAAAAGAAAGAAAAACTGTTAGCAAATGCCCACCTGATAAAAGGGACCTTCTTGGGCACCTGAGTGGCTCAGTTGGTTAAGCATCTGCCTTCAGCCCGGGTCATGATCTCAGGGTCTTGGGATTGAGTCCCACATCGGGCTCCCTGCTCAGGGGGAGTCTGCTTGTCCCTCTCCCTCTGCCCTGCTCGTGTGTGCTCTCTCTCTCTCAAATAAATAAAATCTTAAAAAAAAAAAGACCTTCTCTACACATGAGTGCTGGAAGCATGTACATGTGCATTTAGGAATCAGATAAAAGGCTTAGAGCAGTGGTTCTCAAATGATAGCCTATATCAGAATCCCCTGGAGGGCTTGTTAAGACACAGATTATTGGGGCTACTCCCAGAGTTTCTGATTCAATAGGTCTGAAGTGGGGCCTGAGAATTTGCATTTCTAAGTTCCCAGTTGATTTTGATGCTGCTGGTCTGGGGACCACACTTTGAAAACAACTACTTAGAGTTAGTTTCCAAAGAGGTTTCGTTTCATCTCCAAGGCAGGCAGAACTGGAGGAACCTCTTTCTCAGGCCCCATTTTGAGACTTTTATTGATGTATCAGGACCAAAACTCTTTTCTGAAACCAAAGTTGTATAGGTATGGCTAAGGCACATTACCATGTCAAGGTATAGAAAAATCCACCTGCCTTACCTTTAGGGCCTACCTGCTTAATTATGACCTCCTCACTAGATGCCAAGGCTTGACATTTTACCAGCTTGACTTTTATTTTATATTTCATACTCATCACATACCATATACATGCTGGCCCTCAAAGTCAGTTTTACAGGTGGAATTTTTTACAGATGTGGAAGGGGGCATAAGGGGAAAAAGCACTAACACTTACTGGGCATCTTCTATGAGCCAGACCTTGTAGGCAGTACCAAATGACCCCACCTAATCTTTACAATAGTTCCATGAAATAATTTGGAGGAAACTGGGGTTCAGAGATTTGGGGACTTACCCAAGGACCTTGGATGGATTTTGGTGGTCATGGCCTAGAGGCTGACAATCCCCTCTCTCTCTTACAGAATTTCCCAAGACAGCCTTCCAACAGCAACACATTTCTCCTTTAATTCTGGGTATCTTGGAAAGGGGTGGGATCTGGACAAGTCAGGAGACCAACATCTATTGAGTCATATTTATTAATATTAACAAATGTTATAAATTTGTAACATTTAAATCAGGGAGTTAAGCATTTCTATTTCTGTTTTCAGATGAACAGTGAAGGTTCAGGGAAGTTGATTGTTTTGCTCATGGTGGGTCTGTCTCTAGAGCCTGTACCCATAGTTTTGGTTTAGGTGAATATCTCCTCCTTATCAAATAGTGATAGAAATATATCTTTTCTGTGAAAGTAGCTTCTATTCTTCCATGAGGGCTCTTTCAAGACTCTCAGGACATGGATAAGGTTGTTTTCTAGTTGTTAGGCTCCGAGAAAAGCACAGAGTGTGTGTAAAGGGATTAATATCCAGGCTGGTTTAGGAAGACTCAGAGTTCCTGTTCTTTTGAAAATTCAGTTAAGATAAATATGCAGTGTTATGTCTGAAAACCTGTTATTCAAATCTCTGCAGCTGGGTTGGAAACTAAAGCTGCTTCTCTGTCAGTGAACCATATGGCTCAGAG